TTTTAAAATTTTAGCTTGTCGATGTAATCTCTGGGGGACAAACTGTCGGTGCCATAGGCTTGGCCTCTTTCAGGTATGTTTTGTCGCATGTGTTTTGTGTTTTTAATTAAACCATTTAAACAATAACCAAAATATTTTACAACAAATAATTTCAAAACATTAAAAAATTAGTTGTGTAGAAAAATGTTTTAAACAAATTAATTAAAAAAGTTTTAAAACTGATAACGGTTAATAACTAATATTTAGAAAACAAAAAGTTGACAAAATGTTAAAGATCTAGAATAAATCTAAAATCTACAGTTGAGTATACTGCAAGTTTTGTAAAATCAATCTAAAGTTTTTGTTAAGTTTTATTTGATTGTACTTGAAAATGCGTAGCATTTTTATTTCTCGTTTACCCTCTACTGCAATTGCCCTTTTCTTCCGATCACTTACTTGAATCACCCCTACTTGCACCATTTTGCACACTTTTTTACCAAACCTTTCTACACAAAAAAATTTTTATTTTACAGAAATGGGGAAAAAAGAGGTAAACAATTTGAAAAGGTCTGGAAGTGCAAGACCACAGGCGGAACTTGCTTTGCCCAGAAGAGAAAAGGAGAGATGAAAAGGACATCAGCTAAACTTAGACATACTTATAGTAAATTTCAAAAAGATCTCATAAAATGCAATTTAGTCGATAGAGCAACACCATCAACAACAGCCACAACGATCACAACAACAACATCATTGCTGACAAAATTGACTAAGAAACTGTTATAAAAACAAACTTCCATCAAACTATTTGACAGATCGATGCATCAAGTTGTCCAGAGGAAACTTTGGCACTACCTTCCCTTCACACCTTTTGACACCTCAAAAAAACAGTTACACTTTTTCGTACTTTTCAATTTCTCAGTACCGTCGGCACAGTATTAAAGTTTAATAAAGACTTTTGTTCACTTTCGCACTTCTCTCAACTTTACTTTCTGTACGGCAACACACTCACACGGACATTCATTCACTCACTCATTCACTCTCACATACAGTATATCTTTCCACACGATCGCTTGCATTTGCTTTTGTTTCTGGTTCTGATCCAGTTTTGTGCGCTTTCTTCCTATTGAATTGTATTGCTGCTCTCTAATAAACACACATTTACACTCGGCAAATGAATAGTAATGAATAAATGATTATTAACTCAATCAATTGTGCAAACGAACTATTGAATGTGCAGTTGTTGTACATCCGCAGAAGATTAACGTAAAGCAGTATATTTAGAGGTAATCATGATACTGATTTGAATTAAATGCAAAAGTAAAAATTGTTATAAAAATATAATTATCTAGGTTTAATTGTGAGTGCCTAAATAAATTAACACTTGATGCAAACTAGCAAAAAATTTTATTAAATTCTACAAATGCATATGAAAACAAGCATATTTTCAAGTTTAGAAAAATCTAAATATAAAATCCAATTAAAATAAAAATGACATTTTCAATTGATTACTAATACAAAATATTTCTTATTTGATTGTTATTTTACACTCTATATACTTTTATAACATTGGCTCAAAAACGTGATTGGCCTATTTGCGTCAATGATGCGCTCTACTGAATTGAATTTATCAGACAATAAACAGCAAAGGTGACAACAGGAAGTACCGGCAAGGTGATCAAGAAAAGCTGTAGTAGTTTAAACACAGTAAGTTGAAAGCACTTGTACAGATTTTGAACCAATCTGTGTAAAACAATTGTAAAAGGTGCTGATGCATTGTCGACAAAAGCAGCACTTTATTCCCATTTGCACTATTATTCTGAACAATTATTCTGTAAATTGGTATTTACAGATAAAGTGTCTAAAAACAACTATTTGCTTCAATGATAATTGCCTGATTTAATTGGAAATATATTGTCAAGTTTTTAAACAATAAATGAAAAAATGTTTTGTCATTTGCTGATACTTCAAGCGCTTTTTAGTTGCAAAAAAAATCAATGGATTGTTTAGGAAAATTTGGCAAAAGGAACATGATCTGAAAATAACGATAAAATAAAAGCATAAGGTTGTTATGATTCATTTCTATTTTCAAGTTGCAACCCTGTCCTATCAAAGTAAACTACACATTTTTGTTGTCTACGCATAAAGTCAATAACATTGCCATTAGCATCCGTTGATGATGACAGTTTTATAGCTATTGTCATTTTTACTTGCCTCGTTGACTGGTAGCTTTGTTAATTCCGCTGCTGACGAGAGGATTAGCAGCTATTATATGACAATTATATGATGGATTAGATCACTTACAAAGTGGGCTATTGGGTAAAGGTGCTCATTTCTCACTTCCTCTAGAAGACTTTTCAGTCACTGGTAAACTGTTTTGTAAGCCAAATGATACTTTTACATGCTGTAACTCGATCCAAAACATGCAAGAGTAAACACACAGTAGACTGGCGGATTGCATGCAAAATTGCGGCCATCTTTGATGTGCAAACTTTTAAAGATCTAGAGTAGAAAAAGTAATACAGTTATTTTGAATACAACTACACCACTATTGGCTGTGCAACATCTGTCTTCTTTCTTACCTCTGCGAATGAACGCGTCTAAAAGTTTTTTATTGAAACACATTGAGAAAATTAAAAAAAACTTTTTTAGTTAACAGAAAAATGGAGCCAGTTTTAGGCTCTAGAACTAGCTTTTGTTTTGCTTTAACACTTTTTTTCATATCAACAACTCAAGTTCATCAAGGCCATGGCCAACAACAAGAGCAACCAGTGCTTCCTCAGATAAATCAAGCTCCAGCTGTTCCTCAGCCCCAGCCTAGTAAGAGATTTTTTGTTTTTAAAAATATTTTCTGTACTATGTTACACCTATTTAGGGCAAGGAAATTCTCAGGTGCGTGGTCCTTACCAGCCAATGAACCCAACGCCTCGTCCGGGTGCTCCCCAAGGAGACAAGTCACATCTGCTGTTTTATCCTTTTGATGAGAACGACTACCTCAAAACGGTCAACTCAATGAAGCAATTTCACGACCAGCCTTTGCATTTTCGACTGCCCTTTTTCGGCTTTGCATTTCACTACATTTGGGTCCACAAAGACGGCTATGTTAGCTTCAATCGCGGTCTCAAGTCGTACCAGTTTCCAATAAGCTTTCCAGCCGTTCCTGCGGACACCAAACTGGAGGAAGACCCGTCGATGATGGCCATTTTTTTCGCTCACCAGGACATACCTTCTGAAATACGCGAGTCAGGCGTTTACTTTAGGATTGAAAATGTTGCGACGCTTGAAAATGAAGAATACAAAACTCGAATTCTGGAAGATTTCGACCAGGCAATGGCAGGATCAGGTGGCTTTGTGCCTAAGTTTGTTTTGATTATCACATGGAAAAACATGACATTTGCCAATCGCCGGCCTGACAAGCCCCTGAAAACAAACACCTATCAGATGGTGATTGGCACTGATGAGATCAATACATTTGTGTTCTACAACTACGAATGGATAACCTGGATCACTCATTTGGATAACTTTGATGGGCTTAATGGGCCAGCCGCTTACGTAAGTGATTGAAACTGTGATTAACAAAAAAAACTGTCAACAATTAACTGAAAATCTCATTAGATTGGCTTCAACGCAGGCAACTCAACACGAACATACGAGTTTGTGCCCTATTCCCAGAATCCTCGCGTTTCCCTGTTGCCTTTAATTGGCTACGCAAACAACATCAAAGGTCGCTCCATTTTCCAAGTACACGATGTCCTCTTTCAGGGCAGTTGCGTTGAAAAGTCGCTTGATCCTACTCTGCCAGATCGAATGGCAATGACCACTTCGGTCAATTACGTTTCGAGCCTAGGCAAAGAGCTGCTCGAAGTGACCGGCCCATGTTTCTGGCCTGAATCGAGAATAACCTGCCGGTTCGAAACGACGCAAGTCAAAGGGCATTTCAAAACAAATAATGTTGCCTACTGTGTGACGCCGCAAGTGCTGTTTGAAGGTGAAAACTCGTAGCTGACTTTCAAATATAATTTCTAACAATATTGACTTGTTTTTATTTTGTAGGATACATCGATTTAACCGTTACCGTAGATGATAAAACCTTTTTCTATACGAGAATGTATATCCGTAAGTTTTTTAGTATTTTGTGATATCACCAAAAGTTAAAACAATAAATATTTTTAGAGTCGCCTGAATCAAAGCGGGAATTTGATGTTTGGGTGGAAGAAAAGGACTATCTGGAGAAGAATCCCGATTTTATCGATCAAAGCGACCACTTTTTAACGATAAAGTGGAAAAACGATAAAATGGGCAAGGAAACAGACAGAGTGACCATTTCAGTGTGGGGATACCAGGAGCTGGATGACACCCTGTACCCGGTGATGATTTGGCTGGTTGACCTAGTTGAGGGCATACCAAACAACGGAGAGCACCGATTAGATTTGAATAGTCTGCCCTGGATTCAGCTGCACCGCTACGACTACCACTTTGGCTTCATCGGCGTCAATAAGACCAAAGAGGAGTTGACGGCAACGTTTTGGAGTAACCCCATTCCACTGGGCTGGCTGCTTCGAAAGCACTGGCGCCTTGAGTTCGGCAAAAGGTGGCAGTACAACTTTTGCGCCAAGTGGTACGACCGGGAAGACCAGAATGAGTACTTTGCGACGACGCTCTTTCGCTGTCCATGCACCTTGGCGCAGGCAGAGTTGGACAAGGGAAAGTTTGCACCTGATGAGCGGTGTAATGTGGTGGATAAGAAGTGTGACTCGCGACACCATGGAGCACAGCACTGCGTCAGAAGTGCCAGGCCTTCGTAAGTGAAACGAGAGGAGAAATACTTTTCAGTTTAAACAAACATGAGAAGCCGTTAGGTGGAAAGCAAAGTGCTTTTGAATCAATAGACTTTACTTGTTTTTCTCTGTTTTGCACCAAATTGGTGCACTTTAAACATCTAGAATTGGCGGATCAGGTCAACAGTGCTGCTACGACGACTACGGAGAGCTGATTCGCAGCTCTGACACAATGTACGGTGGACGTCCTTCGAGAAGTTTCATTTACGGACAGCACCCCTTTAAGATGTCATGGATGGTGCGCAATTGCTTTAGAAATGGGTCAAGTGGAAGTGGATTTTCATTTTCTGTTTTTCTATTTTGTTCATTCTGCATTAGACGCCGACTCTTTCGTACTGGCAGCAGGACATTATGCCCTTTTACTACTGCTGCAAGTGGGCCGATATGGAGGATGATTCTGAGACGTGCATGATGTTTAACTACTTCAGAACCTCACAGGACTGCTCCAACTATCAGCCGTCGGCAATCGGTAAGTGCACAAGTGTCGGCGTTCAGATAGTTAAAAACAAACAATGGCAACTAACACTGGTGATTCTCTCTCTTTTGCCCCTTTCGACTGATAGCGTCTATCTTTGGCGATCCACACATTGTCACCTTTGATCAGCTGAACTACACCTTCAACGGCAAGGGCGAGTACGTGCTCGTGCACACAAACAGTCCCATTCACAAGTTCGACGTACACGGCCGCTTCGAGCAGCTGCCCGACTCGCCGGGCACTCAGCTGACGGCGGTGGCCATTCGCGACAACATCTCCTCCATTGTCGAGTTTCGCATCCGTCCAGACGGCTGTCGTTGGTTCAATCAGATGTTCCTCATTGCAGACAAGGAGTACCTCTACTACTGGGACGACAACATGCGCACCATTCACACGCGCGGTGTCACCGTGTACCAGCCCAGTGGCATTCGAAATATGAGCCACATGATTGCCATGTTTGACTCCGGCGCGGGCGTCGAGCTGTTGATCAATCCGGCGGGCACACTCACACTGCACGTCTACCTGCCCAACACGTACGTCAATGCGACCAAAGGACTGCTAGGTGAGCGAATAACTACAGAGCACTTAGGTTTATCAACTCATTACCNTCGAGCTGTTGATCAATCCGGCGGGCACACTCACACTGCACGTCTACCTGCCCAACACGTACGTCAATGCGACCAAAGGACTGCTAGGTGAGAGACTAACTACAGAGCACTTAGGTTTATCAACTCATTACCTTTTTTTGGAATCTAGGATACTACTCTGGCAAACCAGAGGATGACTTTATGATTCCAAATGGGCACACAATCGCCAATCCGCAGTCGTTGAATCGTGAGCAAATTCACCGGCAGTTTGGCACCAAGTACCGCCTGTTGGAGGTGAACCAGGTGAACCTCAGTCAGTCGCTGTTCTTTCACGACGTGGTCTCACACTCCATCTACGATGACTTTACCTTTACGCCCACTTTTGAGTATGACCTAGCTGAACTGGATCCAGAAGTGCTTCGAGCTTGCTCCGATTCAGTCTTCTGTCAGTTTGACTACGCAGTGACGGGCGATTCCGGCTTTGCGGAGAACACCAAAAAGGAGGAGGCAATAGCGCAGAATATGTTTGCCATCGTCAAGGACAACATTATCAGATGCCCGGCCCTTGAGAAGCCCCTGTATGGACGAAAGTCCTCCAATCGCTACTGGCCAGGCACTATTGTCCGCTTCAGTTGCAATGACGGCTACCGAGTGGCGGGCTACGAGGTGAGAAGGTGTCGAGAAGATGGCCTGTGGTCATGGGGCGTGGATGCGGAATGCGTGCAGACCATTCACTACACTTTTGCGCTATCCGGCATTATTCTCTCTATCATTGTGCCACTGATGATTGTCGGCTTCCTGGTCATCGTTTGGGTGAGAATGAAGAGGCAAATGGAGGAGAAAATGAAAAATGGCAAAGGAGGAGAAAGTGATGACTCAACACAGGTAAGTGCTGAAATAAAAGTACATTAATTGTTCATTTTACTCATCTAAAAACAGTATTCCTTATTTTCCAAGCTGCATCTTAAAAAGTACAATAGTATTCGTACTTCGTGGGGCCCGCCTCCGCCCACTATACCTCCTCCACCTCCTCCTTCTGTTAGACCAATTGAATCGATTGATGAAAGCGATGAACAGGAAAAACTGAAACCTGATAACTTTCCGGAGAACATGGCACAGGAAGAGGACGTCAAACCGATGGACGACTCAGTCGATGGATCACTACTTAACGAAAAGTCTTTATCGAAAAATGAGGTAGTTGCTCGAGAAATGGACACCCGAGCCCCAATTGGTGGCATAGTGCCTGGGTCGATGAGATCAACCTCAAGCTCAGGTGATTCAGTGCTAGTTTGAAGGTTAGGTGTTTAAACCGAAGATATACCAAAATCTCTGGCAGTTTGTTTTCTATTCAGATTTTTTTTCAACCTATCATTTTATTGTACATTCAATAACCATAAAATGCTTTTTATGAGCAAAAATAAAAGTTTATTAAAACTAGGGGNAGTTTGTTTTCTATTCAGATTTTTTTTCAACCTATCATTTTATTGTACATTCAATAACCATAAAATGCTTTTTATGAGCAAAAATAAAAGTTTATTTTCATAAACATTAAAACTAGGGAATCTCCATGTGTTTCACCAGTAGATTTTGGCTGGGCGATGGGGTGCTCCACAAACTTACCCTTTCAAAGAAACTGAAACCTGAAAACAGACTCATTTAAATTGCAAATGGGCAAGACAAATCTTAATTTTGACAATTATATATATTTTAAAATTATTCATTATGATTTGCTGTATAATCATCACTAAAACTGAAATAATAACATGTGCATACGGCGATTAATATTGTTCAAGATGATCCATTTGCCAAGTGGTTTAACTCTAAGCTTAAATCCAGGTCTTCAAGAACATATTCGTCCGGATATCTATTTAGAGAGAAGATAAGTAAAACAAAGAAAGAGAGTAGTACTCCATCACTTACCCTTCTTCATCAAATACTTGGTTTGTATTTGGATCACAATCCTTGACCGTGTATTTAAGCGTCACAGAAGTAAACGTTGCTGAAAGGAGTGAGACATCGTCCAGTTCAGGGTCAATGGACAAGGCAATGTACACCGAACGCGGAACATTGTAGGCAAGCTGTTCCGCAGGCACAACTGCATCCACGGAAAATCCTTCGGGAATCTACAGAATATAAGTTAGAGCTTTTTCGAGCTAACATTTGCTTGCACACTTACATCCATAGAAACGGTAACATTTTCAAGCACCTGATCATTCAGCGTGTTGGTACAATCAAACTGCAGTACAACGTGGTCCTTGAACATGTGCTTCACGCACTGGATGACGTACTCGGTCTCTGATTCGGTCAACTCTACAGGTAGTGAGCTTNAGAAACGGTAACATTTTCAAGCACCTGATCATTCAGCGTGTTGGTACAATCAAACTGCAGTACAACGTGGTCCTTAAACATGTGCTTCACGCACTGGATGACGTACTCGGTCTCTGATTCGGTCAACTCTACAGGTAGTGAGCTCTTGAGGATCGGTCCTAAGTCTAGTGCCGCCAGCTTTGGAATGGCCGCTATTTGTTCCGCATACAAGTCCTGTCTGGTGGCGGCAATCTTCTCCACTGCCACTGCTCCACTGGGACCGTTCTAGTTAAAAAATGCAAATTATAAATGTGATGCTTCCTCTAAATTAAAAAACCCCCTTACATGTGCAACAGTGGACTTTTGTCCGAGTCCGGTGCCAAGTTTTCCATCTCCACCTTCGTAAAACGTGGCCGTGTTGAGTGGTACTGATTTAATGTCAAAGGGCAAGTAGGTAACGCCATCAGTGGCCGCCGCCGCTTGGATGTACCCCTGAAGAGCCTTTTCAAGTCCAATGATGCTCACGTTCAACGTGTTGGAAACGTACGTGTTCAGAATTGCCCGCTGCTTTTCATGCAGAATATTCAGGTAATATGTCGCACGATCTCGAACTTCGTCGTCCGTGTCGAGCGTTGAGCGCTCAAGAAGCACAAGAATTTGCGGCAGTAAATCCTCACAGTGGGCGGCGAACTTCGCCAACGAGCTGACAGCCGCTGCACGAACAGGACTTTTCTCGAGAATTAGGCGATTGTAAATGTAGCGAATGTACTTTGCCGGCGATGCAGTTTTGGTGCCTTCTCGACCGAGCAGATGGAGAATCTTCACAGCCAAACTGGTGTGCTCGCAGTCTTCGATAAACTCACATAGATAGGCAAGACCGCCCTCCTTCGCTTCAGGGTTGTCTTCGATGATTGCAATAATCGTCTCGACGATGGCTTTCTTGTACTCGTAACCACCTTCTTCGTGCAGCATCGAGCTGAGAAAGCCCATCATGACCGTGTGCTTACGAGGGAATTTAGCGCACAGTGCACGAGTAGCACCGACGACAACAATCTTGAACTCGTCGCTAATCTCCGACATGAAGGAGGCAATCTGCTTCATTAGTCGCTCCACAGAGCTTTCGTTGCCTGTCTTTAGAAGCGTAGTGATGGCTAGGGTAGCAATCGAGCGGTTTGAATCGGTGATCAGGTTCTCCAAGTCAACGTTGCAAGCCATAACTAGTAAAGGAAAGGAATGCGAGTTATAAGCTACTGCTAAAAGTCTATTTTGTATTTACACTTACCAGCATTTGGATGGTTCATAGCAATTTTGTTAAGTGTACGAACTGCAGCAAAACGAATCGTCGGTTTGGAGCTGGACAGCATAAGCTGCAGCACTGAGATTGCCGAGTTGAGCTCCCGAGGACTGGTGCAGCGAAGATTGATGATTGCATTGGCTGCCTCATAGACGACCATCTCATTTTTGTGGCGCAAGGCACTTTCAATGAAATCAAAGTATGGTGATTCGGAGGTGGCACCTTCTTCCTCGATTAGTTTAGCAGCAATACGAATCAGCATGCACAGAGCATAAGGACTCTTCAAATTTGAACGTGTTAGCTTGGTGACCAGTTTGGTTACTGCCAGACGATCCGATTTGCGAATGTGGTAGAGCAAACCAAGGGCATGCGACTGCACCATGATGTTATCAGAGTTCACCGCTTCTTGTGCCTCGTTTGCCCAGCGCTTGACGCCCTCGGGAATCGTCTTGGCGAGATGAATCGAGCTGACGAGGGCTGCAGAGGAGACGGCAGAGTTGCGATCGACTATTGCCTGTTTCATGTATCTTTCAATGCCCTGAAGTTAAAAGTGTGCGTTAGTGACACCGTTTATTTATTGAAAATAGTTGATCCAACAAATACCTGAAAAGTCGTGGCATCGGTAATTTGGCAGAGGGCTCTCATTGCGGCCGGTCGGCATTGGTCATCCTTTCCGTTCATATCAGTTGTTAGGGAGCTGGTCACAACGTAGGCATTCTCAGCAAACTTGGACAACTCCTTGATGCCAATGTACACCAGTCGCCGGAGGGTGGTGTCCTTTGACTGGAAAAGCTTGGTCATATTGAAGAAAGCATCAGTTGCCTCCAGTGTGGACAGCTGCTGACCATTGTTGATGAGATAGAGAATTTTTGTAAGAATCAATGAGCATTTTCGCGGATTGACAGGCGTCTCATTGAAGACACGGGCCTCTTGAAGGACTGAGGTTTTGTCGACCTTGGCAAAGGGATTTCCGTAGCCGTCTTCATCCTCCTTCTTTTCGCGTTTGTACATCATTGGGAAGAGTCGGTGGTCAGTTTCAAGAGGGCTGAAGAATTTGGTAAGATGATAAAATGCAGCAAAATACAATGACAACAGCCAGATACGACACGTCGCCTCTGCTAGCAAAAAATTACTGCCTGCCGAAATACGGCCTTTGACAGTGGAAGCCTGGGCGGCAGTGCCCTTTCATTTTTATAGTTCCTCTTTGATCAGTTCATTTCAGTGCCCCTCAAGCAGGGCGCCAGGCCCCAAGCGTTGTTTTGCCGGTTTTTAACCGCACCTAGGTTAAAATATCCGTTCAAAATAGTTTTTTGAAAAATGTTTTTGATTGCCCGACAGCTTTTTCAGACATCAGATCAACTGTAAACGCTTTTAAAATACTGATTTATTTAGTCTTTTAGACAGATAGGAAACAGTTATAGTAGTTTTTTTATCAAAGTTAAAGTAGATTTTGTAAGAATTGTAATAGTAGTAGTAGGAATGTGCAATGATCACAGTCGGATAAGTAGGATGGGATTGAATTACGGAGCACTGCTGTTCTTCTTGGCATTAGCAGCAGCAGAGCGCATCTTTGCAATGCGCAGTCGAACGATGGCCAGGTGGCGATCGACGTAGTCCTGGTGTGAAGCGCCCAGTGTGGCCGCTTTCAGCAGACAGCTCTCCGCCTCATCCAGTCGACCCTGTTCCACGTAGACGACGCACAGGTTGTGCCGGGCGGCAATGTCCGCCGGTCTGGCGCGCAGCAGTCTCTGGTAGCAGGCCTCCGCCTGGTTCATGTTCTTTGAGTGATTTATCAAGAGGTCGCAGAGCAGCGTCAGGCCCTTCAGGTGATCAGGATGGTGGCGCAGGAGAGTTTGCAGCCAGGGCAGCGCCTTCAGCGGTCGACCGCTGTTGGTGAACAGCAGTGCCAGGTTGAAGGCCGCCGAGCGGTGATCGGTTCGCAGTGCCAGTGCACTGCTAAACCAGTGTTCGGCGTCAGAGAGGTGGTCAGAGTTCATGGCAATCATGCCCAGGTGGAAGTAGATTCGCTCCAAGTTGGCAGGGTCCTGGGCAGTGGAGAGCAGCATCTTCAGACGAGTCTCCGCCAGAAACAGCAGCTCCTGGCGACCGGCGTCTTGGACGACGATGGCGTAGTTGAGAAGTGCTTGCTAAAAGGTGTGAGTATAAAGTCAAAATTTGTTTAAATTTTCCACAAATCAACTGTATTACCGGATGTTTTGGGTGAAGACGAATGGCCGTTTCAAAGTGCTCAATTGCCTGATGCAGCTGGCGGTTTTCAATGGCAACGACGCCTAACTGTGAGGAATAAAAAATTATGCATTTAAAAACTGCATTGCAAAGCACAAACAGTTTTCAATTGCTTACATTGTAGTGTATGTCAGCATTGCCGTCGTCGAAGCGAAGTGCCGTACGGTAGACAGCTTCCGCTTCATCTGAGCGATTCAGCTTCAACAGCACCTCTGCACGGCGCATGTAGGCATCAACAAAGTCCGGTCTCATGCGAATGGCCTGCCGATAGAGAGCTTCCGCTTCAGACAGTCGAGAACGATTTTGCGCTAGCAGACTGCCCAGGTTGAGGAAGAGATTCAAGTGAGAGGGGGCAATGCGAGCATAAGTAGGACCAGATTTGGCGTTTTTTGAGACAACAGAAGTTGGCAAAAGATCTTTTGCTTTTCGAAAGTACACCTCTGCCTTGCTGGTCATTCCCAGACTGGAGTAAGCTCGTCCGACGTTGATGAAGGCGCCCAGATCATCTGGCTGAACTTGTGTTGCCCTTAGGAAGTACTTTAAAGCCTCTTCGAATTGGTCTTCACCTTCCAGGACGTGGCCAATATTGTTGAGCAGCTTTGCATTGCCTGGATGCACCTTTAGACCAGAGGTGAATAGGCGCATTTCCGTCTTCCAGTCTTCATTGCGAAGAACCGTTTTAGCAATGTGACTGCCAACTAGAAGAGTTAGCGATAGCTTCAAGAAGATGGTAAGCCAAAATTTTCTCTCAAAAAGCCTAAGCAGCTTTAACATTCCAAAAGCAACGAGAAGGCAAAAACCACAACTAGGCAGGTAGAGGACACGTTCGGCGATGACAAAACCTAATAAACAATTTTTAATGTTTACTCAATTTTTTTTTCATTGTCGCACAAACTTACCAACATAAAAGAAGAGATTTGAAGCCGGTAGAAAAGGCACTACTAGCAGTGCCACACTGCATACTATCGTCGGTCCATCTGCCGTCAGTCTATTTCTTAAGGCACTGAATATTGCCAGCAGCAGAAGGAGATAGCAAAAAGCAGTGCCAGAATTTCTAGGATCAGCCAGGGAGGTGACCAGTGGCACACTGCCCATTGTCCAGTCGCAGCAAAGGCGCAGGGGATTCAAAAGCAGCCAGCCGTTTAGTGCCACCAAGTAGTGATGTGTCATTCGGCGAATGGGCGTCGGTGAGTAGGCAGCAGGATTGTCAAAACTAAGTAAAACAAAGAAGTTGGTCATTAAATATTAGCTCTAATTGATTGAGTTCATTGTTTTGTGTGTGCTGCTTTATAAACGTGAATTACCGACCAAACACGACTACTAAAGCTTCCTCATTTACTTTAATCCCTTCAAATGTAAAAAACTGCCGACTCAACTGCTGAGCGATTAGAGTCCCCATATTGCTGCAGTGATTACACTTCTAGTGTTGATGATTTATAGAAAATCTAATGCTTAACTACATTACAGCAAATCAATGCCAGCATTGAACCAAAAAAGATGACACAATTGAACTTACCTCGTAAAGACGGGCAGCTGTGAGTGCATGACACGCAGTCGAAGGAGAATGGCCACTACAGTGGCCAGTGCTAGAGCGCCTATTCGAGGCACCATTTCCTTTATCCGCCTGGGACTTTTGCTGATGCTCTGCTGCTGATGTTTCCCTCGCTGTAAAAGTGCTGCAACATCAATTTGATGCAACTGCAACAGCCATAATAATGGCAATAATAAAGAGTATTATAAGGTAATGTTAAACATAAAGCAATAATAATGCACGCTCCATTAGCAGTGCTGCTAATTAGTAACCAGTAATCAGTGAGAAGCTGTACATGCCTTTTGATTGTACAGCACTTCGTAAAGTGCACAGAGGGCAAAGGCAGTAGCACCCTGCTCTTTGCTGAAGGTTGCCAAGAAAGAAAGGATGATGGAAACCAAAAGGAGATGCCAGTCTATTGGGGTCATATTAAAACAAATGATTATGAATAAACAAGAAAGGAAAAACAATACTAACTGGTCAAGCATCGTTTGGTTGCTTTAGAGTAGACAAGTAAGGCAAGAAGGTAGAAGGTGGCACTTAAGGTTTCCGCTCGTCCCACTACGCTGGTCACCGCTTCAGTGTGAATCGGGTGGACACTGGATGATTTGGAGCAATGGAGTTAAAAATATTAACATCATTCAGTAACGTTGTGAAACTGCCACTTACCTAAAAAGAAGCGCTGCAAGAAAAGCGCACTGCGAAGCGACAATTAGCCTGCAAAATCTGCAACATTATAAAAGAAAATTAGCGTGATAAGATAACGGCTTATGAAAATAATTATGTCCACTAAAAGTATCCTTGCTACATAAAAGGAAAAGGAAATTGACTACTGGACAAAACTGTATGCACCGGAAAGAGGTCTAGATTGCATTAAGGGTGGCAATTAAGATGACCATTAGCTGAAAAGAAAAAGAAGCTACTGATTTGAGTAAAGTGATGGAAGATATAATTTTTATCAAGAGCATTGTCAACTGAACACCACTCTTTCTACTCTTTTTGATTATTTTATGAGCCGGCTTTCACACACAAACCAGTAATGACAGTGTTGAATTACTGGCATGTAAAGAGAGCCGCATGAGAATTAATCACATTGAAATACCATCAGCAGATGCTTCACTGCTTCATCTTTTACCATTGCAGCTAAAATAAAGAGGGCTGGAAAGATGCCGACACAAACGGCTACTTACGACTACCACTGACTCGATCATCATTTCAAATATCCTCCATTTCTTAATAATGTCTGGTACTAATTTTAGCCTATGACGACAATATCATCATCATCATGACCATCATCATTTGCATCCTTGTGTGATGCAGTTTAAATTGCACATTGATTCTAATGCCAAGTATGTAAAAATGATTAGAAATAATACCACAACATATTTCAGAACTAAGAAATAACTAAAATGCAATGCAGATAAGCGCAAATGAAATGAGTGTGTGTGTGCTCACCTCGCGTAAAGAAGCGTCACGACAACGTGCAGCAGAACGTTAATTAGGTGGTAGCCAAATGGACGCAGCCCGTGCACTGCATAGTTCAGGCGAAATGTGAATACACTGACGGGTCGATAAGACTAAAAAAGAAAAATTAAAAAAAAGTTCACTTGATGAAAGTGAAAATGAACTTACCTTATGTGATAATTCCTGAATAGGAAAAAGAAAAAAGAATAAAGAACGGTTATTTGACAATGCAGACTCGATTTTTGTTTATTGTTGTCAGCTAATCAATCCTTTACTGCCAAATGGTCAAACATCCGCTATTCTCAAATTAGGCACCGTCAAAGAAAATCAGCAGGCAAAAATACTCGTGTCAAACCTTGCTCCTATTGTCCAACAAGAAAGCAGGCGATTGATCATCATCAACGACATAATTCAGCTTAACAGAATGACAAAATGAGCGCATAAATCACCCACGGACATCAAAGCATCAATGGACAAAGAGGAAAAATTCAATCAGGATGGAAGAAAAAATATGCTTTTAATTGGCATGCTAACTGGGAGAAAGGAAAACGCGAGCTGTCAAAAAGAAGGGCAAAAGCTAATTGAGAGATGTTATGAACACACACACAGCCGATATTAGAGCCAAGGGTCGCCAGTGAGCAGGCGGATGGAACATATGGAGCCAAGCTGGCAGAGTATGCAGAGCGACTACAAGTGAACAGCAGTCGATTTACCAGCGGGAGAGCTAATTAAGAAGGAGGCAGCAGTAGTAGGCTACTGCCAAACTGCTCTTCTCGTTAGGCGCCGAGTACCTGTCAAGTGGGTGCAGAAAAGCGAGTGTGCCACTCAAAGACGGACTTAAATGCGCTGTTCCTCTCTCACTCACTTACCAGTGCGTATTAAATGTTGACACAGGAGTGAGATATTAATTTCACTCTGTAGGGAGGCTAGGAAAACAGTAAGTAAAGTAGTCGGCTGCACAGGCAATTCGATTGCCTGATCAAACTTCCTTCTTTTGGGAGGTTAGCTCAGCCAGCAATCGAGTCAATCGGCCGCAATGTGTATGTGTGTTTTTAGAAGCAACCTTCTTTTTCACTAAGTTGTAAATTAATTAAACGTACACCAAAATATCTTATCCATGCTTTTCTTTAAATGCTAACAAAATGCCCAACTAAATTGCTCACAGGAAGAGAAGAGAAAAACACGACTCTGGCAAATGTCATTATAAAGCGATTCAAGACAGTAAAACGCACAGTTGCCTGTTCTGCTCTACACTGAATATTTGCCCAACCGATCGGTGTGATAAATGCCGCTGAAAGAAGAACGTCGTCAAGCGTTGCCTAAATGATAGATTAATATCAGTGTGCACATGCTAGTGCTGGTCTTTTGTTGGCTGATGAAAAGCCCATTAAGCGCCTACATGTTTTTGCCATCGCTTGACAAGGCGGAGGTTGAGAGAAAAAAAACAAAAATCATATTTTTTGGTTACTAACCTTACTCATCGGCTGTCCCCAGAAATCATTGGAAAGTAAAGACGTAAGGGGCGTTTCTGGCCTCAAGTCGGCATTCTCCTTCACCGCCAGTGAGTCGTCAAAGGCAAAGTCACAGAAAAGAGCGTTGAAGTAGCAAAAACAACAGACAAAACTCAAGAGAACTGCTTGAAGATGGTTTTGCTGAATCCTGATTCTAACAAACGTTGGATTTCTGAAAACTCGCAATATCCAAAAGGACGCTGCTTCAACTGTTGATGAACATTTTGTGTCCAGTTTTTCTGTTGTATTTTCTGACACAGCATTCTGATTATTTTTCTTCTCTTGTTCTTCATCTTTGCTAATGCAACTAAGTCGTCTAAGGAAGTCGTGAAGTCGGCGAACCCCTCGATGACATGCTTTTCCTGTTTGATGGCGCCTTTTTATTGTGGTGGTTTTTGAGTTGTCGGTCTCACAGAAGGCAAATCCGTTCATCTGAAGTGTGGTAAGAAAGGAAAAAAAGGTAAAAGATTAGTTGTTGTGGTGACTGAAAAAAGAGTTAAAAGTAGAAAGTACCTCAGCATCAAACTACTGCTTCAACCCTCTTTTTACCAAAAAATTGAATGCAATTAAATTGGATTTGCATTTAAATTAAAAACACGGCAAACAAAAACACACACATTGACAAGTGTTTGTCTGCACACTCTGGTGCAGACACTTGTCAAGAGCTTGAAGACTACTACTACTACTACTACAAATGCAGATGCAAATTAAATTACTTTTTCCTTTTGAAAGGGTGAAAAACTTGAGGCAGGTACCAAGAAATACATTTAAATTCAGCTAAGAAATCGGCAGAGGAAAATGGTAAGGAGAAGCTTAGAAGCTAGAGTTTGTGATGCACAAATACTGCAATGATGTCGGGATAAGGAGAGAACAAGAGGTAGAACAGCAAGAACATGAGCTCTTCTCAATAATTAAGCAAGTTTAGGCAGCATTACAAACTTCTACACACGCTCACGCTTGATTAATTGATTGCCAATTAGCCAATTAATTAATGTCGGCATTAGCGACACAGTGGCAGCAGTAGTCAAATTGAGAAAGGTGAAAAAGAAGAAAATGAGTAGCCGATCAATTTCGATCAACACAAAAGCAGTAGGCTTGTCCTCCTGTCGCCGACAGCAGTCAAACAAAAAAGAATATAAGACAAGTCTAGTCCATGCTTGCATAAAAGGGCATGTTTTACAAGCACACACACATACATGAGCAAAAGTCAGAGAGGGAGAGATTAGTTGCTGGTGAAGGGAGCGAGAAAAAGAAGCGAAATCAGGCGAGAATAGCCAATGGAAAGAAAGTGTGTGGAGAAGGAGTCAGCCAATGCATTTTCACGTTACGCATGCATCATCGACTCCTGTAATTGAGTCGTCGAGTGGCAGACACACAACTGGTTGACTGACTGACAGAAGAGCTTAGCAGTGCCAAACCAGAACCTGTCTGCTGGTTTGTTCGACAAACTGAGAACCAAGTGGGCAGACTTCTTCAGACTGTTTCCTCCATCAAGCAGTGTTTCTGATTGCTTTCCACAGACAATTCTCACTTGCTATTGAACAGTGGAAAGTGACGACAGCGACAGATCGATGGCCAATTAAATGCCAGTACTGTGCTCGTCAGTTTGGCACAGCTGAAGATGTGAATAGTAGTTTTGGGGTGGTCCACCAGTCAAACACTACGTTTGGAACATCATTAAGCTCACCCTAGATCTAAATGGTTTGAAACAGTGTGTTTGCTGGCAGTAAAAGACACATTTTCAATTGTTTGATTATGCAAACGGAAGAAAGCAGTGTCAGAAAGAGTTCTCTTTGGCTTGTGTCACTCTAAAACTACTATTGCTCACTTTAAGGGCGTCAAATTAAATTTGTCCGTCATTAAGAAAACGGTAGACA